AGAAGTGGTCACCTCCCTGCAAATTCATAATCGCACAATTTCATGTCCCATCACTGTAATGAGGCCGCTGAAGATCCTAATAAGTGATGGAATCGCCCGATGATGCCCACAATCTTCATCCTGCCAGAGCCATTTCCAACCCATCACACTGGCCGCACAAACCCACAACCATCCCCCCGTCTGCAGTGCGCCACACACTGATCAACCCCCCCCCCCCCCCCTTCCCCGCCCTCCCACCACCTTTCCCCTGATATTCAGCCCGTCGGGCCCTGAAAACCTCGACAGTGCATGATTGTCGTTAGTAAGAATCGCTGCAGCCACCCTTACGGTCATCGCAACCTTCTCCGACAAATTACGGAGTTACCGTACAGTAACCTCTGACTTATGAAGCGCCACCGTGGGCTGCCCCAGAGGAGGAAGCGGCTCCTCCTCCTGGTTTCTTTTTGTGAGCCTTCTCCTTCTTTTTCAAGTTATCGAGGTGCGCTTTCAAGAGGGTTGCATACGCCGTCTGGAATCGGATGTGTTCCTTGGGTGACAGTGTGGTCGATATCTTCCTCTTCCCGTCGGTCGCACGGACCAGACACTTGCAATCTTCATCCAGCAGGTCCTTCTTTTGCGCCTTGTTTACCCGTTTGCACGGTGAGTGTTTCAAGGTCACCCAAACTGTTCCCGATTGCTTGTTTCTCTCATAGAGCTTTGTCAGCTCATTCAGGAAAGGATCCGGCTCCAACAAAACCATTTTTGCTGTGTGCTGCTGCTCAACTGTCCGCTCTCTCACGTAAAACTTGTGTGGTTACCTCCCTCAGGTTTGGTTACCTTAGAGCAAGCGCTCCTCTGCTGTGCACTGCTCAACTATTCGTTCTTGCAGCAAAATCCTTGTTTACCTCCCTCAGATTTGGTTACCTTAGCAAGCGCTCGTCAAGGTTTCAGTTCCAAGGTTCCAGTCCCAATGTTCCAGTCCCAAGGTTCCAGTTCCAAGGTTCCAGTTCTGAGGTCCCAGTCCTGAGTTCCAAGTCACAAGGTTCCAGTTCTGAGGTCCCAGTTCCACAACGACCCCCTGGCTGTGCTGTTCCACGACCGTCCTCCTCCAAGTTGCAGTTCGGAACTTGAGATTACCGCAGAGCCACCACAGTAAACCACATGCAACAAGGAGTTGCTGGTGGAGTAACCACAGTCACTGCTCAAAGTAGTTACCCGGGGTAACCTTTGGAGCGACGGCAGTTAACTTCGGGTTAACCGCAATGACCTGTTGATGTTGGAGTAACCACAGTTAACGTCAGCAACCACCTTCAACAAACCAGTTACACACACAAGGATTCTATTTTTAGCGCAACTTGCATTGCCCAAATCCTGTGCTAATTATAGAATAGCTCGGGCTGTTCAGGAATAACTCGTCTGCCACCTCCGAGTGTGTTCTGGCCTATAATCCTTCGCACAATGAAATTTGGCTACAATCTGCAATCAAACCCCATCAGACCAACCCAAGCACAAGCTGCCAGTTGTCAAAATTCTATAGAAGCAGGTTGCTGGAGTGGATCTCTCCCCCATAACTTCCATCTCAAATAGCATGGGCAGACACTACTAACTGACCAATCACTTTCAGAACGTATCCACCTAAACCACACACAGATAACAACCGCAGCAAAGCATACAAATGCAATAATGCTGAGACATCCGCTGTGATGCCTTCTCTCTCTCTCTCTCTCTCTCTCTCTCTCTCTCTCTCTCTCTCTCTCTCTCTCTCTCTCTCTCTCTCTCTCTCTCTCTCTCTCTATGTCTCTCTGTGTGAGTGTC